TTGTTTTACTCACTGATGAATCCAAGTGTCCAGAATAGGATCCAGCACATAGTAGGTGCTCAAGACAACTTGTTGAACTGGGAAAGAAAAAGGAAACTGCCTACCCCCTTCTTTCCCTCTTCCTCTAGGTAGGAATCCACATGGTGGGGAACTGGAGCAGATCTTGGACCCAGAGTTGGAAAGTGTTATCAGAACGGCAGGAAATAAGATCACAGGAGGAGAGGGTGCCTGGCCTGTTACTGCAGAGCCCGGCACTGCTTATCCCCAGCAGAAGCAGCACCCACCTTATCTAAGCCATTACATTTGAAGTTTGGTCACAGCAGCCAGAAAAAACCTGCACCTAATTATTGGGTTAAACCCAGTGAGACCTTGGTCAAGCACTTGCATTCTCTGAGCATGTCTTCATCTCCAAAGTGGAGCTAATGCCCACCTCCTGCGGTTCCTGGTAGGATAAATGGCACCGCACATCCAGCGCCATGGAAAGCGAGCCCAGGGCAGGACTGCCGCGTGTACCCCTGGAGCTGCTGCACAGGACGCGCTTGGGGCGTGGGAAGGCCAGGCCCGAGTGCCACTGAGATGAGTGGTGCTGGGCGGGTCAGGCGCTGTACCTTTGTGAGTGTGCGACTCAGTCAGGGCTGGGCAGCGTCTCTGGCACCGGGGTCTCAGGTGTGCACCATCCCAGGACACCCTACCGCCCCTCAGGCCTGGGGGAATCACTGCTTTGCACCTCTGGGGACAAGGCCAGGGAGCAGGGAGGTTCCCGTTTGGTGAGACATGGAGGGGAAGGGCCTGCAGAGCCCGGCCCACTCTCAGCCAGGAAGCAGGTGGCCCCCAGGCACTGCACCCTCCCCCACCCTTTTCTCAAAAGAAAGCTCCTCTTCCTCCAGGGAGGAAGCCCTCCTCTTTCCTCGGATCAAGCTCTCAGGGGACACCTGAGATACCAGAAAGTCACCACTAGGGGAAAGGGGGATAAAAGGACCACAAGCAGACATGTTTGTGATTTTTAAAGTTTATCTGAATCTCCTCATTCCCAAACTCGGTGGGACCGCACAGGAGGGAGGCTGGGCAGTAACGTGAGTGTGTCAGGACCCCAGTCACTGAGACCAAGCCAGTCTGTTTCCTCATGTACAAAATGAAGCCAGTGGGCCACGTGGCCTCTGATGTCCCACTGCATCCCGACAGCTAACCGATCTGTTTGTCCTCAGGGACACTTCGAGCCCCCAGGGCTGGAGACTCATCCATCAGCTGCTGGAGGTGCCAGGCCGCCCTGTCCAGTTTCGACAGCTCCAACTGGAGCGAAGACAGCTGGGCAAGGAGGGGAGGTGAGGACCCAGGTGTGAGGACCCAGGTGTGAGGCCCACCGCCCCGACCCCCATTCCCCCAGTGAGCCTCCCCCGAGCCTCACCTTCTGCTGCCTCTGAGTCTCTGCCTCCCCTTCGGGTGGGGTCCTGGCTATGAGGCCATCGAGCTGCTTCTGCAACTTGTGCCTTCGGGCGGCTAGCAGAGGCAGATGGGTCTGGGGCTCCACCAGGCCCTGGTAAGAACAGTGCGAAGGCTCCGGCATCTGCAGCCTGCCCAAGGCCTCCCCCCTCTCCATTCTAAGGCCCCTTCCCACTTTACAGAGCCCGGCCCTTCCCTTCCTCCCACCATTCTTTCCAACCCTCCCCTCCATTCCCCTTCCATCCCATTCCCTCTGGTCACCTGCAGCTCCATGTAGACCTGCACTGTGTCACTTAGCGGAGCCTGGGCCCAGCCAAAGGGAGCTACTGCACCCGGGGGTAAGAGGCCCACGGCCCCACAGTGGCCCAGGGTGCCCAGGGGCTCAAGGAACGCCTCGAAGAGGTCCTGCTCCCCAGGCTCAGAGCTCTGCAGCAGCACTGGAGAGGTGAGGGAAACCGTCAGGTCAAGGCCTCTGCCTCCCTTCCTGTCCAGCACCTGCTGATGGGGATCTGCCCTCCAGGCCCCCCTTTTCCCCACCAGCCACAGCCCCCCGCAGGGACCCAGGAGCCCAGACACGCCTCACCTCGGGGCCGGGCCTTGGTGAGTTGGTACGTGGCTCGGAGGGCCCTCAGCGCCTGCGCGGCCTCCTGGACCCGGGAGAAGCGCCGCTCCAGCTCGGGCTGGCGCCAGTGCTCCTGGCAACAGGGCATCCAGAGTTGGCAAAGGGGCCCCGGGAGACTCAGTGCCAACCCTCCTGGCTCTGTCCCCGACCCAGCCACCCCATCTCCTCAGGAAACAGGATCTGCTTCAATAGCACACACAAAATCCACCAGCCCAAACATGGCAAAGAGTCAAGAGTCATCTAAGAGGTTTTAGATGATCAGTGTTCTGACTGAAGATGACAAACAATTACAGATAAGTTAAAATTTTAAATGTATCGTTCAAACTTCACAAACCAAATAAGCATAAAAGAAATTTAAACAGTTGAACTTTATTTATTTATTTTTTTTCTTTTTGAGACAGAGTCTCACTCTGTTGCCCAGGCTACAGTGCCATGGCGCCAGCCTAACTCATAGCAACCTCCAACTCCTGGGCTCAAGCGATCCTCCTGCCTCAGCCTCCCGAGTAGCTGGACTACAGGCATGCGCCACCATGCCCGGCTAGTTTTTCTATATATTTTTAGTTGGCCAATTAATTTCTTTCTATTTTTAGTGGAGACGAGGTCTCGCTCTTGCTTAGGCTGGTTTCGAACTCCTGAGTTTAAGCAATCCGCCCGCCTCGGCCTCCCAGAGTGCTAGGATGACAGGCGTGAGCCACCGCACCCGGCCTAAACAGTTGAACTTTAAAATGATTTTTTGCAGCATTTATCCTTCTGAAGTTATCAAAGCTGCACTGAGATTTTTGGGACACCCTGTTTTTAACTCATCTCATCCTTATCACAACTATGACAGGCAATATTATTGCCCCCGTTTTAAAGATGGGGAAACTGAGGCACCGTCCCACAGCTGGTCTCAGTCTAGCAACAGCGTCCTATGCTAATACTGTCCCGGAGACCCCAGGGCCACGCCAGCAACGCTGCGGGAACCATCCATGCTCCCCCAGGCTCTGCAGTGAAGTACAAACTGCAGCGGTAGATGACCCCCAACAGCAAACCTTGCCCATCCCACTCCAAGGTGCCATGTACCTGCGACTCACCAAGCTTCGCGCACTGGGGTAGGGGGCAACCGAGACACTGGGGGTGGGGGAGCAGCCAGGCCTGGGGGGCAGCCTCTGCCAGAGCTCTTCAGCCAGGAAGGGCATTAGCGGGGCGAGGAGGCGGAGGCCGAGGTCGGCGCAGAGGAACAGGACCTGAGGGGGTCCCAGGGCACGGGGCGCGTGCCG